TAGTGGCTCCTGGGAGTTTTTATTCTTTTTTCTTTTCATCTCATGCTGGTCCACAGAGGTGCTCTAACATGTAGCTGCAGTGACACATTTAGGATTACCAAAATACATTGTTTTGATGTAACAGCTGAAGAACACTGGGAGGTTAATGGGGTCAACCTTACATCATTGTGTTTGGTAAATACATTGTTTTTAACTCACTGAATTTTTGTTCCCATTAGTTTCATTGTGTGTTCAGTCTTTTATTTCACGGAGGCTGTACACTATCAGATTTGGAACCATTTTCCTAGTCTAGGTGCAGAAACAAATGCCTGGCCTGCCATTGAGATATTTAATCTGACTAAAATGAAGCATGTACCTGTTTGAATTATTGTAATGCGCTCTAAGTGAGGCTGTTATCAAAAAAGCACTCAGACATTTTGCTGGTCCAAAGAACTGCAGCCCATCAGGGTTGGATTCAGTTCCATTTACTGTTGTTGGGCACAGTTCAAAGTTCTGGTTATGACTCTATACGGACCAGGTAACTGCATTATATGAAGGGCTGTATTCTTTCCTCAGGTGATCTCTTGTTGTCTAAGTATGATAGCCTTCCAAGTTCTTGGATGATGCCTGTGCATGAGTTTTTTTAAAAAAATGTGTGGAGATCAGTGCACAGCCAATCAACACACAGTCTTCACAGAGTGAGGGTCCCAACCAGTGGTGTGGTTAACACAAAGACTGTAGCTTCTCAGTCTCTTGCAGCCTTCTTTTGCCTTCACTACCATTGTAACATGTACTATGTTATCTTCTACCATTGAGGTCTTTGGATTGTGCTCAGTCTGGAACCTCTTCTGCAGCCTCCCTGGGAGTGCATGACTCTGGTGGTTACACCCACGTGTTTGCTGGAACACACAAACCCCCTCACCATGACAGGGAGACAATTTATCAAGGGGGATCTCATTTGAGACTGCCTATCCTTTGAGACCCCCCTTTGCTCCATGCTACTAACTTCATGGGCACATCTAAAAACACAGGAGAGGACCTTCTAGGTGGTTGCTCCAGGCGCTGAAAATTCTTTATAAGGAGAGAACTTTTTATAATAATGCCCTATAGTATTTCTGATGTAGAGTTGGAAGACTGAAAACAAGCAAAGATCTCTTTACCTTTAATAATTAGGTAGAAGAAGAAATTTCAGCAGGTGTTGATTGTCATACAATCAGCTAACAATCAGTACTTGCTTAAATTTCTTTTTCTATACATCCATGAAAGGAGCCCTTTCCAGTTTTCAGTTTGTCATTGGTAATTATGTGCATTTCTCATAGATTTGTTTAAAATGTTTTTTTCATTATACAGATAATTAGGTTATCTGTTGACAATAATATTTGGTATTTGTTTACCGATGTCTCTTTTCACTTGTATCTAATAAATTTCTGTAAATTTCTTTGACTCCCACTTTGAAGGATTTTAGATAAGACAAGAGACCTGTTCTCCATCTCAGCACAAGACAGTAGCATGTGGTCAACCGGCAATGAAAAAAGGGGGCTCAGAAAGAAATAGAAGTGTTTCTTCCCCTCCATGGAAAAAGGGATCTGATATAGCTAGCAAGCTGTTTAGGAAAGAGAAGGAAGAGCAGCAGCAGTACTGGGATGAAAAGGGGACAAAGTGGCAGTCTTATAATGAAAAAGGAATTAAAGGGAGAGTGGATCCTACTGGCAGAAACAGCCATGTCAGGTAATCATATTCAGACCAGTGGGCCTCTTTCAACTCAGAGGCAGAAATATCTGGAAAATGTGTGGGCTGAGGTCTAGTGGATCACAACTCATTCCTTTGCAAGTCTACTGTTACAGCAAAGTATTCTAACCTAATGATCTCATGCTCTTTTTCTTTCTTTCAGTTATCTTTCATGACATTAGAAACACTGGCAAGAGTCTGAATGTGACTTATTTCCTTATTTCCAATGACTTATTTCTAAACTTGGTTATATACAAATGGGAAATGCTGATAAAACTGTTTATCTAAAATGGAATTTTAAAAAAACTGTATGGCTATTGTTTTGCAATGTTTGTATTATTGTGAATTCAATGGCAATGGGAATAAGACATTGTGCATGACACTGCTTGCTCCACCCAGCTTCTTAAAGGTATGTAACACTGTTGATTAGACAGAGAGATAGATAAAGATGGTTTAAAGTTGTTCTTTAAAAAATCAATATTTTTTAGTAATGCATTCCAGCACAAATGATCTCTGTCACATCTGATAGTGTTTTCCTTTTTTGTACAGGACATTGCAATAAGTGCAATGCCCGATTTTCTGCTTTGGCTGTACCAACTGCCAAAAATGTCATAAGAGACACACATACACAAGCACAGAAGTGGCTGAAAATCCAATTTTGAATAAGCATTTCCTCCAACATTTCACAAATAAAAACCAAGACACATATATGCAAATGACATCACAATATGATCAAGAAGACAACATTTTTAATGAGGAAGAAAACACAAGATAGGAGAGAATAGCAGTTTGCTTTTGACAGAGCCTATTGGGAAGAGCAAAGATTCTGTGACCTCCTCCCATCTCAAACCACTTTTTCATTTTGAACTCAGTTTGCAGGAATTGAAGTTAGTTGAGGTCAAAGGGGGACAGTGAAAGGAGGCAAGAGAAACTGGGAGATTTTGGAGGCAGCTCAAAAAGTAGATGCAAAGGATTTATTGAGAATGTTCCAGTCACATGGGGACAGCTAGAGAGTATTATTGTTGTTGGTTTTTTTATTGTTAAACATTGCAAAAAGTTTATTGCACCTTTTTTTAAAATGTCACTACTGGAGATTTTCTGGAGAGGGAATTCATCTGTCTGCATATTGGCCAAGAAAGGGGTAATACAGAGCACGTAGAAAGAATGAGGGCCACAAAACAGTCTCAGAGACTTTTTTATCCACCCCTGAATTACATGCAGAAGTAGAATGGAGTGGTAAGTATCTCATTTTCATTCATATGGTCCCATGGATTATTATTATTAACTTTATTAATAACTCACCTTTCTCCCTGTGGAGACTCATGGTGCCTGAGTCTTGGATGAGATTACAAGAGCTGAGACCCTAGGAACCCTAGAAAGCTCCCCCAGTATGAGATAGTGAGACCTGTGTAGCTGGCTATGTTTTCCATTATATTTATTCTGCTGAGCAGGGCTATGTAAGCTTTGGAAAGTTAGAGTATGGGAATTAACAAAAAGCAGTGGAATAATATTGTTGCTCCAATTGTATTTAAAGGAGTGGCTGCTTTCCCAATGAGGGAGAAAAAAATAGGCTATGTCTATTGCGGTCTGGAGTATGCCAAAAGAGCAATTTCTCCTTTCAGTTATCACTGGCCAATACAAATGTTGGTGCCTCAAATATTAGCTCTGTTTCTGTGGATATTTGGCCTACTGATTCCAAAAATGGCACCAATTTTCCCCTATCAGCTCTAGTATGGCTTCTACCAGTCACCATCTGCAGGCCCATAGAAAACCATTATAATTATTAGACTTGGTTGATCCAGATTGTTATTTTCATTATTCGTTTTTTGTTCGTTATTTTTTTATAATTAGAAGCGATTTTGAGGCTTTCTGGGAACCCGGAAGTGTTTTTGCAATAACGAAGCCACGCCCCCATCTTCCTTACGACGTCCACCAGTGAATCGTAAATGCTGGGGGCGTGGCCTTTAGGAACAGGCCTCTGAGGAGCCCTGTGCTTGGCCACTCCCAGCTCTCCCTTGGACAGCTGGCCAGGGAGGAGAAGAAAGGTGACGGATTTAAAAACCAACACTTTTAAAATCCATCACCTTTCTTCTCCTCCCTGGCCAGCTGTCCAAGGGAGAGCTGGGCGTGGCCAAACACAGGGCTCCTTGCTTGGAGGTGGCTGGGGGCGAGGCCTCCGAGGAGCCCTGTGCTTGGCCACGCCCAGCTCTCCCTTGGACAGCTGGCCAGGGAGGAGAAGAAAGGTGACGGATTTAAAAACCAACACTTTTAAAATCCATCACCTTTCTTCTCCTCCCTGGCCAGCTGTCCAAGGGAGAGCTGGGAGTGGCCAAGCACAGGGCTCCTTGCTTGGAGGTGGCTGGGGGCGAGGCCTCCGAGAAGCTCTGTGCTTGGCCACGCCCACCTCTCCCTTCTGCCGCAAGGGATGGAAGGGAAACTGTGAGATTTTAATGGTTCTGGAGGGAGGGAAGGGCACCTTCCATTAACGAAACAAATGAAACGATTCGTAATTAACGAAATTTCAGAAATTTCAAAATTTTAAAATCATAAATTTCGGAAGGCCTCTGAAATTCGAAACGCTGGTGCCCCCTAGAAACGAAGCGAGTTTAGAACTAATTTTTTTCTTGATCAACCAAGCCTAATAATTATATCTAAGAAGCTAGGGCTGATGCAGTCTAACCAATGCTATTTTCTAAACCAGCACCCCAAGTAACCCCATGAACAGGCCTAAAATCTAAGACACATTTCTTTGTGTGTTGGGCAGTGTTACCCATGCAAATATAGAAAGCAAAAGTATTGCCAGGTTAGACATATGAGAGGACTCATGCGTGTTTGTTTATTTAACCAGCATTGCTACTAAAAATGCCATCTCCCTATTAGCATGAAATGTGTTGGGGCAGCTCGAGCTCTTTGATTTTATCGTTATTGACCTACTATTGAACATTAGTAGACACATTGATTAAATAACTGCCCCAGAGCCTTTCAAAAGTATGCCTGCAATCACATCGACACTTAATATTTAATAAGCGCTTGTCTTTACCATTTGCTTGTATTCTATTTCCTGTCTTGTCTGGGTGTCTGTGTTCCTGCCAGCAGTTATTTTTCCTGCTAACTTCATTCATCATGAATATACACATTTTTGGCAACTCTTATTTACTGAGACAGGTTGATGTAACAGAGATCCTTCTGTGCAATTAGCAAAAGGTAGCCGTTGACAGCTGCAGGTTTGAACGGGTTTGTTTCTAGTAAACATTTTTCATTGGGGTTTTTGTCCTCTCTATTTTTGTCCCTAGGGGATTTTTGTTCTAGGTTTGCCATATGCTATACTCCACAGTGGATACAGTGGGCTGCTTCTTATTATCCTGGCTGCAGTTTGCTGTTGCTACACTGGCAAAATTCTAATCGCTTGCCTGTATGAAGAAAATGAAGACGGGCAGCTTGTGAGAGTGAGAGGCACATATGAAGACATCGCCAATGCCTGCTGCAGAAAGCTATTTCCGAAACTTGGTGGCAGAGTTGTCAATGTGACCCAGGTGACGGAACTGATCATGACATGCATTTTGTATTTGGTTGTTAGTGGGAACTTGCTGTCACATAGCTTTCCAGCTCTACCCCTGACGGAGAAAACCTGGTCGGTAATTGCATTCGTAGGCCTGCTGCCTTGTGTATTTATCAAAACCCTCAAAATTGTATCCAAGCTTAGCTTGCTCTGCTCTTTGGTCCATTTTGTTATTATCTTTGTAGTAATAACTTATTGTCTGACCCAAATACACCGTTGGTCCTGGTCAAGATTGAGCCTCTCTGTGCAATTTGAGAGTTTTCTGGTTGCAGTAGGAGTCATCATTTTTAGCTACACATCACAAATTTTTCTTCCCACCCTTGAAGGGAATATGAAAAACCCTGGAGAATGCAGATCTATGTTGAACTGGACTCACTTCTTAGCTTGTGTCTTCAAGACAGCCTTTGCACTCGCGGCATTTCTGACATGGGGTGAAGATACAAAGGAAGTTATTACTGACAACCTTCCATCATCACTACAGACCCTAGTGAATTTGTGTCTCTTATTCAAGGCCCTCCTGTCTTATCCTTTGCCCTTCTTTGCTGTCACAGAGCTCTTGCATGCTTACATATGGCCAAGCCATAAATCTCATTGGCTTGCTGTCATTTTAAAAAGTTCCCTCCTCCTGTTAACTCTGTTGATGGCTTTGTTTGTGCCACATTTTGCCCTTCTGATGGGTTTAACTGGCAGTATAACGGGTGCTGTAGTATCCTTCCTCCTTCCTTCTCTTTTCCATTTAAAGCTTAAATGGGAAAAGTTAATGTTCCTGGAGAAATGTGCAGATATTTCTATGTTTATCCTGGGCATCCTTTGTTGTGTAGCTGGTCTTGTTTGTTCAGTAAAAGGTGTGTTAAAAGCACTTGAATAAAAGTCACAAGACTACACTGAAGCCCCTCAACATTTGGCTCAGTAAAACTGAAAAGCACAACAGAAAACTGGACTTAGAGAACTAAATGTTACTCCTGACTAAAGCAGAACCACTGAATCACTGGGATTTACCTGTGTATCGATGCATGATTCAACAACTGATTCAACGGGTCTCTTTAATTGGGACTAAACAGCAGCTTCTTGAACAGAGGATTTCAGTCAAGGTTTGGTCCCACTGAAAACAACAGAGCAAGGTTGTAATAGCAAATGAATCAGGTTAATTTCAGTGGGACTAAAATATGACTAACATTCACTAAATTCAATCCGAGTTATCCATATATGCATGAAGATGTCTTAATTGTCAATTTCACAAATTCAGAATCATAGACCAAAAAAAAAAAGATCCAAAAATGATACTGGTATCTAACAGCACAGTATCATCCCTTTCACGTCCTGACATGGACATGCCTGTCATCTGCTGAACTGTGGACTCATCCAGATGAGGCTATTTTGAGCAATTCATACTATTCAAATATGTACTATTCCTTCTCTGTTACTTAATGTTGCTTCTTGTTATTTCCTCTTCCAAATACTATATTTCTTGACTTAAAAAAAAATCTTCAAATGTCATGGAGTTACACCCCATGCCTGTTGTTCTGCCTTTTAAAAATCCTTCCCACATTAGTGCTAGATCAGCAAGCTAAAATCAGGGGTGGGAAACCACTGCTCCAGCCTGCCACCTTTTGTACTTATGCTGTTACCATAGAATGACTTAACCATGGCTTTTTAAAAAAATCCTCACATTAGTGTGAGATTACAAAAATAGATAATCTCACCACCCCTCTTATCTCTGTTTCACCATTTAACCATTCCAGTTTCACCCTTTCACATTTTTGTCTGGTTATCTAGTATTAATATATAAAGAGTTTCTTGTTTTAAGAAAAGGCATCGGGGGAGGAACTCCATAGAAAGTGTATGAATGGGGGTGGTGTAGGGAAAAACTGGAATAGTATTACAAGACAAATAATTATCGCTCTGACTAGAAGGGAATTTTACCTTGCCACCTTTATACTAACACTACAGTGAGTTTAAATAACAACCACAGCAACAACAATAAGCACAGGAACCTTAGGAGAAGGAGGAGAAAGTGACAATTCCAAACTATAAGTACAACTGGAGGTGGAAGGAACCACAGATAATACCCCAGTACATGATATCATCAGTTGCCCCAAATGAATTGAAATGAATGGTCTTCATTAACCATACTAATTGAACTGCACTCCAAAGAATTTTTAAGCCTAGAGTTCAATAGGAACACAAAATAAAAAAGGAGAAAAATCCAGAAATGAAGTGAAATAGCCTACAGTTATTTAAACGTCATTTGGATACTGGGTAGGCGGACAACAGTAAGTACAGCACAACAGCCCATTATTGGAATGACACATTTGGTCTATCTGGTTGGAAACTGAGATAGAGATACTGTAACCCAGGGTAGGGAAGCAGCAAATAAGACCTGTCTCTGTGCCTTAGCCAGGTCTGCAGGATGTCATGTTACAACAGTGTTTCTAAAACTCTGATCTCCCAGGTATTTTGGTCTTGAGCTCTCAGAAGCCCTGATCATTGGCCAATGAAGCTGAGGCTTCTGGGAAGTGAAGTGCAAAAACACCCGGAGAACTGTAATTTGGGAGTCACTGCGTTCCTAGTGTCTAAAATACCAAAAATGTCAATTGTCATTTCTACTGTGACAGTGAAATGGAGAGCATAAAAGTGTATGAATATCCCCAGCTGTGAGATGGATTTACCATATCTATTTTGTAAAACATAAATGTCTATATCTGAATCACACAAACAATTTTTCCCTGGAAAACCTGCCTTTGGTTGCCGGAGTTGAATTATCTGGACTGAAGAAGCAAATGGGGAGTGTTAATTAAGACTTACTTCATCAGCCAGTTCAGCACTCCAGACTGAATCAGTATTAGTCATACTTGAAAGCCCATATGGGAAAAATAGCTGGGAGGAGCTGGTTTGGGGCAGAAAAGCAGACAGTTGGAAAGAGTTAAAAATAAACATGCTGCATCTCCATTCTTAATTGCTTCCCCTTAAAGGATTTTTTTAAAAGAAAAAAAAACTTGTGAATACTTGCATTTGTACATATAACATGGTGTGGAGATCACATATTTTGGTTTCATTCTTTTCCCACCTTTTCTGCCCTTACATTTTGCTTTGAAATATATCTCACTTTTTAGTGGAATCATTCTGTTCAACACAACAGTTGGAAGACTGAAAGCAAAAACATGTAAGTCTTGTGCCATATTTCTGCAGACCAAATGAAAGGTTACTATTGCACCCATTAGATGATATGGAATTATCAGATGATTCAGAGAAAATATTTCATTTAAAATATTTGTTAAGTAAAATAATTTCATTATTGTTTGTTTTAAATGTTTGATTGTTTAGTAAAGTAGCTTCTTTACTGTTTGTTTTGATATGATTATTTACCTCCAGACCCAAAATATGGGGTTTGCTTACCTCAACAGAAACATCATGAACAGATACTTCTGCAAATTGTTTTGAAACTATTGATGTCCTCTGAAATTCATCAACAAACCGAATATATGATTTTTTTAATGACATTAAATGAAGAATGCATGAGTGAACTATTTCTGCTCATTACTTTCACATGTTACCCACAAGCTACAACGGTAAAACATGCATAGAATTAGAAATAGCAGCTGAATAGTTTGAGGTCTGAAAGTTGCTTGAGCATTTTCTCATTCAAGCACAGTTCTGAAAATATGTTATGGAACACATGAGTGCAAGTCCATAACTATGTAATCTGACTGATGAATGGTTAAAGAGTGACCCTTTAGAACAGAAGTGGGTGGCTAGTGGCCTGCCAGGACGTTTTGCAGCCTACAGCTTCCCTCCACACACACACACAAAACCCTACCAATGCACAAAATATTATTTTTTTCAAACATTATTAGAGTTCTCTATGGTGGCAAAGGTTGAAGGCTGAAAAAGCCCCTCAGAACTACAAGATTAAAACCAAAAGTGGCAAACTGATTACTTTCCATTTTGTTTTGCTTTCTTCTCTCCTTTTCCCTCTCCTTCTGTCTCCTCCCTTCTCCTTCTTTGCCCATGGGCTCCAAGTGCTGCTAATGTGATGTGGGATAATGGCAGTTGACATTCCTATTTCTGATCCACTGCTTGAAAAAGTTACATTTTTGTACAGCAATTTCCAGAATCCTGCAGAGAGCACGAAAGCTACCTGGGGATTCATACAGCTATAGTTTTGTTTTTTGGTTTTGCTTTTTTAAAAAAAACAAAAAACAAAAAAACCTTTCAAAACTTTTTCTTGCTCTTGCTCATTCCATGTCGTGAATGATAGAAATGTATCATACTAATGGCTGGTTCTAGCTGCTTTATGCTACTAAGCCAAGTCATATGAGATGCTGCTGCTGCACTTTCCTCTCCATGGAAAAGATCTGAATTTTCTTAGTCCTGCCTGCAACTCTTTGCCTTTCCCACCCATCATTTACCATGGTTCCCTCCTCATTCATCCATCCTTTAAGTTGAGCACAAACAATTATGACCTCCAGAATTTTATGTGTTCTTTGGTACTGTTTTCTTTTCCTTTACATTCTTTGTTACATATCCCTAACTTATCCAAGAGTCATATTAAAATTCATTAAAATCCATATTTTTTATTTATTTGCAGCATTTATATTCTGCCCTTCTCACCCTGAAGGGAATTCAGGGTGGATCACAGAAAACATGTGCGGCAAACATTCAGTGCCATTAAACAGGCAGGACAGACAGCAGATAGAGGTATTACGTCAGCTTCAGAATCCTGGAGGTTGTGCTTGATTCTGGCCACAGGAGGGTGATGTCATTCCATCCTCTATGACAAAGAGCCTTGATCACAGACTTCCTCCTTCCTTTGATTGCCGGCATTTTCTGATATTACTTTTTATAGTGCTATAAAATACCTCCCCACTTAAGTGGTGCCTACTTTCTCTGCTCACAACACACCACTGTTTTCAAACTGCTTAGGTGGACAGTAGACTGGGCTGAAGTTTGGGTTCTCACTTCAACCTGTGCTTTGAACTGCCAACCTTTCAATTGGTAAGATATATTGCTGCTAGTGATTAACCAAATGTGCTAAAACCTTAAAACCTCCTCTAGTCTAAGGTAGACTTATACATGGGTATATATAAGTTTCTTCATATATGTAGGTCTTTTTCAGCCATGTATGTCTCCAGTTCATAACCGGAGTTCCATATAAATTAACATTTTTGCATGAAATTGTGCATTCTTGGATGGTGTGACTACTACTCATTAGTGCCTTCTCCAGGTATTACCCAAGTCACTGGGATTATAGAAGTACCAATATTTGCAAAGTCCAATGTTGGTATTCAACAGAAAAAATGTATAGTAAAACCACAATTTACCTATGAGAGCACAGATTCACACTGCATAAACTCAATGTAAAATCTCAGCTAATAATTACTTGATATTGTTTCTCACATGGTACAGTGGTTTGAGCACTGGAACACAACTCTGGAGACCAGGGTTCAGATCCTCACTTTCAGCCTCTGACCAAGTTAACAGTAATCTCACCAAGAAAGCCCCTTGATAATTTTGCCCGAGGATCACTGTAAGCTGGAAACAACTTGAAGACTCATAGCAACAACAAATTATTTCCCTTACTGCCTATACTGTATTTGCTGTTGTTTCAGGAATGCAGGTCTCTTGTGGTTTGGTAAAATGTCTCACTAACGTCACCAAGAAGTAGTTAATATGCTAATCAGTTTCCATCTTTTTTGTATATGCACAACATTTCTTGACTTTCTTTTTTATTTTATCTGAACAAATTGGAAGCTGAAATAAAGTAAATCATCTTCAATCAGCAGACACATAATTAACATCCTGCACAATAGACTTTATTTTTAAGACGATATTAGCTTATTAAAAGAATAGGCATCACAATATATTTCACATTAGTGATAATCCGTTATTATAGGAAACATTCTAGATAAAGTACTTTAATGAATACTTAGCATCTTATTATGCCAATTCTATCTTAGGTTAGGTAATTGGAATAATTATTTGAAAGAGAAAAAGTTAAATTATCATTACTAACATTTTCACTCAAGCTAGCACTGAGTCATAATAAAAATGTGCAAATGTTTTTCCCAACACTGGTGTTTGTGGTTTGGGCAGCGATGACCTCACAAGACCAACCAGTGGAATGATTGAAAGGCACATTTTTATAAAGGTGTCAATATTAATCAGTATGCCTGCTTGTCCCTGTATCTTCATTTTAGAATGGTAAGCTAATTGATTTGATATAAAGCTTGCATTTTATGGGCCTTGTGTATGTTAGGCAAGTCCAGTCAACGGTGTCACCAGTCCTGGAGATTTCAGAGTTGAAAACTGAGACCATGAGGTGAGTCCTTGCGATGTCATTGGTGGACACTCCTGTGGTATCACACACATCAAGAAAGTAAAGGTTGGGCAGCAACACAAACTGATTTTGAGTCAAATTATTGTGGAAATATTTATGAGGATTGCCTGTGTAAATGGGCTAATCATGGTATTATGGCATGCATTTTTACATTTTAATTTTAATTTATATGTTCTTTTGGCAGCTGAACAGGGAGCAAAATATGCCATTCATTGCCACTATTCCCTCTAGGGCAGTGGTTTCCAACTTTTGTTCCTCCAATTGTTTTGGACGTCAACTCCCAGAAATCCCAGCCAGCTTATCAGCTATTATGAATTGTGGGAGTTGAAGTCCAAAACACCTGGAGGACCAAAGGTTGGAAGCCACTGCTCTAGGGTATGCATCCTACATGCACTTACCAATGCCATGCACAGAGGATAAGGAGTTTCTATAAGGCATTCACGCTTTTCTAAGCCCACTAGCAGCCACAGGAAATCCTTTTCTTCTCAGGCATTGTCAGACCTTGTACAGAAAGACAAATCATGAATGGTGCTGCCCATTGGAGACTCCCTGGCTTGCTTCAGAAGGCATGATTGGTATGCTTCAGATGACATGATGGTAACTGACAACTATCCCCAGTGATCATTTTTAATACTAAACTTGTCACCTCATCACCATACCCACCAGTTTTGCATTTCTGTGGTTATTCACCCACACTATCTTCTTGTAAAGGCTGGTTCCCAGACACTTATTCCATACATCTGAGAAAGTCAACTTAATCCATGAAAGTTTATGATACCACCTTCATTCTTTCAGCTAGTCTCTAATGATGATGGACAAATGCAAAAGACATTGAATGTGCTGAATTGGAAAGGCATACTTCCAGCTGAAAATCAATGGAAATTGATGTTCAGACTTGCATACATCTATTTTTACCCTTCTCTACCACTGCTTACCTAATATTTGCTCTCCTGAAGCCTGGAGTATCACAGCAATTCCCATAAACTTCAACCAGCAACAAGGTTAAATCTGAAATCCTCAGCAATTAGCCATAGTGCCCAGTCAAGAAAAGATATTTATTTGTCATGTCAGAAGCAAATTGAGGGTACAGTTGTAATGTGTTTAAAAACACAAAGTTAAAAACTTGGCATTAGTTGGACATGATCTCCTGGGCAATGTCTTTGTAGACAGCTGATTCTCTCACACCAGAAGCAACTTGCAGCATCCAGAGAAGATAAATTGTATTTAGACCCATCTGTCTGTCTGTCTGTCTGTCTGTCTGTCTATCTATCTATCTATCTATCTATCTATCTATCTATCTATCTATCATGCTTGAAACATTAATGGTGGCAACTTGTGGCACACCAGACAATGGGACTGAACAATATTGTAAATACAGAGAAAATCAATCAGACTACATCTAGCAACAATGCTAAGACTATACATACTATTGATTTCAAACACTCCACATTTCCCAGGTTGTAAGTATGACATGGACAGCTTTGATGACTGTGCTCTTTTTAAAAAGACTGCAGTCTGTTATACTGAATGGAACATGAGTCTTCCAAATGGAAATTTTAGTCTAATTGAAATATAATGTGGGAATGATGACAGATTCAATGCATTAACATTCTTATGACCTAAACTAAATTATTCAGATTGT